TATAGCTTTCAATTACTGTAATTTTGTGAAAAAACCGAATTAGTCGAATTAATAGAATCAAAATTCTTTTGAAAATTGGTAAAAACAGTGAATTGGTGACATTTTAAAGCAACGACTTAAATAATTTGTTCTAAGATTCCATTGCACAATTTAAAAGACAAATATATGATATAAAATCCATAATATAATAAAATATACAAAATACCGTTTCAGGGCCCCCAAATCGTGAATAAACCGTGGTTCTACGCCCTCGAAACCCCAAATGTCGCCGGTTTCGTCACCCAATACGAAGGAAGTACGAGATTAGCCAATTTTTTTGATAATTTTAGTATGATTTTTATATTGTTTTAAACGCAAAAAGCAATTTCCAGACATTGACTACGTGACGATCCGTGGTTCCGGTCATTTCGTACCGCAGGACAAGCCGCGCGAGGCCTTCCAAATGATGTACAACTGGATCAACGGCCTCGACTACAGTACCCCGGTGCCCAGATTGTTGTGAATAAATTTGTTTGATTTTTAAAGGTCGTAAAAATTTATTCTTGTTTTAAAGGAGGTATGAAGGCATAAATGTTGCGCTGGGTGTAAATTTAGCGATATTTTTGTGATTTTCAGTTTTTCCGAGTTTTTACCCTAAATTAGTTTTTTTAAATAACGTAAGTCGCGTGTTTCCGGGTGTTTTGCACCAACAAGCAACAAGCACTGACCACGGACACGGCAATAATCCGGCACCCACCCAAAAATATGCTGTTTTTCGATGAGCACCCGGTGGAAACAACTCGCAAAAATCGCAGAAAAAGGCGATAAACGCAGAATATCACGACCACGGTGAAACATCTGTCTGCTTTTAGCTTGGGATTACGGTATTTTGACTACTGACCGACGTACCGTATGCGCTTTAATAAAAGCGATTTTTTGCATTGTGCGCTTTCAAGGGGAATCTCTCTTTCTCTCTCTCTCTCTCTCTCTCTCTCTCTCTCTCTCTTTCTCTCCCTCTCCGTCTCTCTCGCTCTGGATCTCTCTCTCAATCGTGCTCTCTTTTTCGCTCCTTTGCTCTTTCACTTTTCAGGAAGGTTTATGCCAAAAATGGTCGACGTAAAAATGCCCGATTTTCAAGGTTTTTAATTTTCGCTATTTTCTTTTTTTTGCATTTTCCAAATGTCTCGATGTCTATGTTTGTCTCTCCCTCTCACCCCCTCTCGCTCGCTCTCTCTCTCCCTTTTATGACTCAACCCATCCTCAGTCCCGTTCGATGCTGGTCCCTCTATGGTCATCACCAATTGTTCAGCATCGGCTTCAGCGCAGAGGGGCAAGCCGATAAAATACGCCCCCAATACCATCCACCTCTCCCCATTTTACACATAAAGGTATTCGACCCCATCCGTCTGGCCGACCATTCAACTTTTTCGAATTTTGAGGCCAGCGACACATACTACAAAGTTTCGCCTACGGGTTTTCCGGATCTTTTATTATCTTCGGTTTCTCTCTCTCTCTCTCTCTCTCTCTCTCTCTCTCTCTCTCTCTCTCTCTCTCTCTTCTCTATTATCTCTCCCCCTTTCTCTGTTAGAATTCCGATTTTTAAGGTTTAAAAGATCCTCAAATTTTGAGTCCAAGTTCCTCAAAATTTTTAAAAAGATTTTTTAAGATTTTCAACTCTTTTACGTTTCCTAGCGTGTTTTATGTTCTATCACCTCGATCACAAAATACAGCAGATACCGTAACCCTCCAGAGCCACTCTCCCGTGTCACAAAGTACAAAAACCGGCAAAACAGCAACATTTCCGGCTGGAACATGTGCCCTAGACTGGAGTATAGGCTGTATTTGTCACCATTTTGTATATGGAGGGAGAGAGAGGGAGAGAGAGAAAGAGAGAGAGAGAGAGAGAGAGAGAGAGATAGAGGGAGAGAGAGTGGGAGAGCAAAAGAGAGAGATAGTTGGGTTCAAAGTTTTGACCCCGGATTTGATTTGAATAACCCCATCACTAGTTCAAACAAAAACAAAAACTGCCAAGTACAGTTTCAGAACCTCGCAAAATTTCCGGCCCTCGATCTGCGAAGTTTGTGCAAAAATTTTCCAGCCAATAACACCCTTTTTCTATATGAATAGCGTCAATAGCAAGGGAGTGTAGGCGTCTTGCAAAGCGCACGAAAGTTACGGTAAAAAGGTGAAAAAGGAGTGTCCACCCGACGTCCACAGTATTATCCCGGAATCGCGGAATTTCCCTTTTCTATTTGCTGCCCCTGCCCGTTCCATATTTGGGGGTAAAGTTCACGCTAAAGGGGGAAACGGTCTCAAATTGACCGTAGGCTACCGTAACCCGTCGGGTTGAGGACTTTTGATCTGAGTAATGGAGCGGAAAGGAGAAGAGAGGGTCGATTGCTGAAAAAATAGAGATGGGTGAGACAGAGGGTGCGAGAGACAGAGAGAGAGAGAGAGCGCGAGCGAGAGAGAGATAAAGCGAGAGTTCTGAGTGAGACAGCGAGAGAGAGAGAGTGAACGAGAGAGAGAGCGAGAGAGAGGGAGAGAGAGAGAAAGAAAGAAAGAGAGATCCCTTTGCAGTGACTGTACCTTTTTGGGAGTCCATCCAAGGACCAACGGTTACCCCCAGAACAAATAGGCCCAAAATGTATAAATATGGGCTCGGAAAAAGGGTACAATATAGCCTGCAACCCGTACATTTGCAGATTGTAAATTGATTAAGTGTTTTTAGCAAAAATAAAATTTTGCGATTTTGTTGGAAAATCGCCAATTTTGCATTTTTCATCAAATTTGTACATTTTACATCATATTAAATAGCGAAAAAAGCTTAGAAGCACGTCCGCTTTTTATAATAGAGCGTTGAGTTGCTCGGAAAAAATTGCCCCCTCCCCCCCGATAAGGCGAAAGTACCAGCAAAAATTGCCTACATTCTCGTAACCCAAAACGTTTTCTTTAATAAGCGCCAAAGGTATGGTAACAATGATATTTTAAGTGACAAAATAATCTCGGTTTTCAATTTTCAGAGCCCTCAATATGGTTCGAAAATATTTGCATCAGGCTCACTTTCCCTTTTCGAAAGGCAACGTCATCCCTTCTAGGGTGTTCTTGTGCTTTTTGAGCTTTTCGGGGTGTGGCTATTGTCATTTCTTGATTGGGGGAAAGGGGCCACTGATCCCCCATCAGAATGCTGAACACTTCTGACGAAACCGCTGCTCCCCCCATTGGCGGCGATTGCTATCAGAATTCGAGGCAGGCGGAGACTCAGACCTTTTTAAGGGAACCCCCTCCAGTCGGATGGCCACAGTTCAGCTCTGTACTAATCTGTCGCTATCTCTCTCTCGCGCTTTCTCTCTCTCACCCTCTCTCCGACTATCGTAATCCCCAGCTAATTCCATTATTCAACTTTTTCGTTTTTTTTGCGGTTTTTTTGCAGCGAATAAAGAACGCGTGATTTCCGTTTTGTGCTGATATTCGAATTTTTAAAAATTTCCAGATAGGTCTCTTGCTCGCTCTCTCTCGCTCTCCCTCTTTCGCTCTCTCTCACTCTCTCACTCTTTCTCGCTCTCTCTCTCTCACTCGCTCTCTTTACCGGAAACTTCTATTCAAAAATCTAACTAATCCTCAAGAATCCCCGTTAGCTACCTCCCTAGAACTAAAACTCTTCCCAAAAAACCTCTGCTAGCCTGCCCTCCCTTGCAGCTCTGCAAAGTTTAAAATGACGCCATTTTGACCGTAGCTTCCATGCAGTATTTGCAGAAAAGCCGAGAGTTCAGTTTGCTTTTTAGCAGTGTTTAACAACGAGAACACTTGACGCGTTTTGAAAACGGTTTTTTTAGGGATTTGAAGCAGCGCAAGGAATGAGGTAGTAAAATAGAAATGACGAGGGGTGGGAAAAGCTGGGGAACATCTGGGTGCAGGTTGTTGGGGCTTTTTTGAGGGGGGGATTTTGGCGTTGAGTTTTTTGAACGGGGATACCTTAAAGGTTGATAAAATACAATTTTTTTGGTTGGATAAAGCGATAGATAAACTGAGCGAGAGAGAGCAGCTGAGAGACAGAGAGCGAGAGAGATAGAGAGAGGGAGAGAGAGCGTGAGTTGAAGAGAGAGCGAGGGAGAGAGCGAGAGAGAGTGAGAAGGAGGGAGGAGATAGGGAGGGAGGACGGGGGCAGGGGAAGAGGGAGGGAGCGGGCGGTAGGGGGGGAGAGGGGGGGGGAGAGAGAGAGAGAGAGAAAGGCAGTTCTTGAGCATCTTTGGCAAGCTAGCAAAGATTATTTGAGAGATTTCTGAAAGCTCAGCAAAGTAATATATGGAAAACTCGCAGAGATCTTTAAGGAAATTTCCCGGCTTCAGCTGCGCGTCTCTTTCTTTTTAAGACGAATGGACCAAAATAGACCCAAAAACTAGCGTCAATAGGGTGTAGGTGTAGCTAGATTGCGGGGGTTGACCCTACCCCCCCCCCCCTCGACTACGTAACACACCTATTTCCGGGGTGGGTTCTTTTCCGGAACTGTACTCCCGTTTCGATCTGTTTGACCGGTGTGTCTGCCCCCACGTAGCTGTTATTTGCCCGCAGTCCGACGGTGATCTTGATTTTCTTGCTTTCTTTCGCTCTCTCTCCTCTTCTCTCTCTCTCTCTCTCTCTTCCGGTAAACCGTATAAAACCCATCCCCCTGGCTCGGGAATACGGTCATTTCAGCAGAAAATTACCTGCAAAACTTGAAAAAAAAAAAAAAAAAAAAAAAAAAATCCCACCTTTAAAAAATTTTTAATTTATTTTTTTTTTTTTTTTTTATTTTTTTTTAAAAAAAAAAAAAAAAAAAAAAAAAAAAAAAAAAAAAAATAAAAAAAATTTTTTTTTTTTTTTTTTAAAAAAAAAAAAAAAAAAAAAAAAAAAAAAAAAAAAAATTAAAAAAAAAGAAAAGAAAAAAAAAAAAAAAAAAAAAAAAAAAAAGTTTTTTGATTATTTGATTCCTACCGTACCCTTCAGATCTTACTGTAGCGCCATACTACAGTTTTTTCAGAATGACAATAATCACAAAGGGCTCGATCCGAAGAGAGGAGTGCGATGGAAAAGTGGCCGGGATCAGGTACGGTAGAATTGGGGGTTACGTGAGCCGGGTCTAGTTTGTTAAAGGGGCGATCAAGGACAAGGACATGATCTATGATTAAAATTTTTGAAAATTTTTATTATTTCCGTTACAGTACGACACCATACACGGGACGTTCCGTGAAAGAAGCGAACGACTATGTTCGCTGGTATATTCTCTTCACCCTCCTCATCTTCATCTCATTTTCCTCGATATTTTGGATACCGGCAATTCCGGTTATTCGGGTAGGTGAACTAAAATTTTTAAAAATTTGGCGTTAAACGATTAAATTGAATTTTTTAAGCCAGAATTCTTGCTGAATTTTGCCCCCCATTCGCTTCACTCTTTTCAATTTTCTAAAGCATTGACTTATTTTGATTTCCAAGTTTCTAAAATTCTAAAATTTCAATGTTTGATTATTTATTGTGATTAAAAAATTCAATAAATTAAAATGGTCCAGTTAAATAATTAAATCCATTGATTCCAGAACTACTCTATGGAGATTTTCCTGTTCTTCTGCGCCCTCCTTCACCTCGCCTGGTTCTCGGCAGTGATCAACTCCTGTCGATATACCTGGAGAATGCGGCGATTCAGATCTCATAAAATTGATTTGAAACCGGTGAGTATACCGGAATTTACAGGTCGTAATCGATTAGAGACATTAATTACTAAGCGTAATTTTCCCAATTTTAGACGACCGAATCGAAAGAATGGACGATAAAGCACTTTGTCGGGATTTGTATTTACAAAGAACCGCTGCAATTGCTGATCGACACCATCGAGAGGTAATTCCTATTTCGTGACCCAAATACGGTACCCCATTTTCAGTGTGGCTTCCCAAAATGACGCTGGGGGCAAGATTTCGATGTTTATCGGGATGGAGGAGGGGACACCGGATAGGGAACAGGTACGGTAGATCTCCGTCTCTCTCTCACTCGCTCTCACTCACTCTCTCTCCCTCTCTCTGTCTCTCTCTATCTCTCCCGCTCTTTTGCTCGCGCTCGCGCTCGCTATCACTCTGGTTCTCTCTCTCGCACTCGCTCTCTCTCTCTCTCTCTCTCTCTCTCTCTCTCCCTGTCCCTCTCTAACTCTCTCCCATTCCAGAAAACAGCGTCCCTCCACTCCCTCTTCGACCATCGTTTCGAGCGTTTCCTCGTCGTCTCCCACCCCAAAAACCTTCCCGGCGACATCCCCGGCAAATGCTCCAATCTGAATTTTGCCGCCCGAACTGCTTGCGCCTATTTCTGCCAGGCCATGGTAATTTTCTACTTTGAACCATTTTACCCTCTTTTTAGCGCGAAAACACGAATAAAGTGACGATGGCGAGGACTCAAATTCTGGTGACCACCGGGGACTGTGATTCGGTATTTGGCCAACGGTACTTTGACGCGTTGGAGGAGGACTTTTGGAAGACGAAACAAGAGGTGCGATTTGAAAATGAGTCTGTTAGTCTTTGAAAATGTTCTTTTCTGCTTAAAATTATAAATTTCGCTTCAGGACCGCAGTCGTACAGTCTGGCAAAGTCCCCTCTTCTACGCGATGCGCCTCGAGAAATCGCCATTTTTCGTCAGAGTCACTGGCCTGATGCGCTCATTTTTCATGATGGGGTTAGTGGAAAAATTCTATAATTATGCCGGCTCTAGCTAAAATTTTAATATTTTTGCTTTTAGAATTTATTAGACCAGAGAAAGTTGCGTAGCATCACGTCGCCCAGATAAAAATTCAGCAGCGTCGCGTAGCCTAGCGTTAAAATTTTGTGGTATCGCCGTAAAGGCTGCGTAGCATATCGTAGCTCAGATCCCCGAACCTGTCCTAGTCCCTGTAAAAATTCTGGATCGTTGCGTAGCCCGCCTTAAAATTCCGTGGCGGCACGTAGCCTGGCGTAAAATTCGTAGCGTCTCGTAGCCTAGCATCAAATTCGTAACGCGTTGTAGCCGAGCGTAAAAATGGCGCAGCGTCTCGTAGCACGTCGAAATTCCGTAGCGTCGCGTGGACAAGCGTCGAAATTCCGGAGTGCCACGCAGTCGACTGTAAGCATTCCGTAGCGACTCGTAGCCTAGCGTAACCCGTAGCATCACGTAGCCCAGCTTTATGCTCGTGTGGCCGATCGTGAAAATTGCTTAGCGACAGGCTGCGTAAAATTCCGTAGCGTCTCGTAGCTCAGCATAAAAAATTCGTAGCCTAACGAATGCGTAAAAATGCCTCTAAACGTTTTCATTCAGCTTCCTGATCCCGTGGAACATCAACACAATGTCAATCTTCTCATTGACACTCGAATTATATCGTGACGGAGAATTCACCCATCCCGGATATCAAATGGAAGATATTATTGCGTTGATCAGATGGTCATTGGCTGTCAGGAAGAGGTGTATCATCAGGGCTATCCCCGTTGCCACGCTGTCTGGACCCACTTCCGGTTGGTGCCTATCGATTAGCGTATTTTAAAGGGGTGGCAACACAAAAAACCCTCGAAAAATTTGCAATTTGCGAAAAAACCAAAAAAATTTGAGCCGTTAGAAAAATAAATTTGACCAATAATTTTTGAAAATTTAAATTTTTTTAAATCCAATATTTGTAAGATATTTTAGTGCAAAACAAGCCCACGTTTTTGCAGGCGACAACTACTACCACGAGTGGTTCGAGTGGGCCCGCCAGATCCGTAGATGGACGATCGGAGCCGCCGAGGTGTTCCACTATTTTGCCATCAAAAGCCGACGACTCCCTGTCCACGTCGCTCTCATCTTCTCAGCCGTGTTCATCTTCTACTATGGGTTCATGCTGTGCATTTCACCGCTTTATTCCATTCTCGGAGCCACTATTGTAAGTTATTCTTAAGAATTTAGCTTGAAAACCCGAAATTCCTTTTAGTTAGGAAAATACAAAATCTTTTGCCTTTAATGGCCCTTTAGAATCATAGAATCAACCGTATATTCGTTATTAAGCATTATTAATTGTAAAAGTTGCCAATTCTCATTTGCATGACCCTCTAAAACATTTCCGACCAAATTCGCCTGTAGATTTTTGCCTTCAACGGCTCTTTGGAACGGACTACAGTATGCCTGAGAACTGAGGTCATTTTGAGACCAAAAACTCCTGGCCAATATGTTTATTTGCCACTTTTTTGTGCCTCAAAATTCCTTTTCACGCCCCCGCGCACCCAGCTACCGTATGCTCGCAGAGAAATGAACGTGCAGAGGAGTGACGCGTAGTGTTTGCTCTGGTTTTGAGGGTGGGGCGAACGGGGAAATGGAGATGACGAGCTTTTGAGAAATTTGGCAAACGCTAAAATGCGTTTTTAGGGATGGAAACGGAAATTAAAAACAAAACCTTCTAAGAATCCATGAATTATACAGAAATTTAAATTATTCAAATCCAATTTAACAAGCGTGAAATCAATTAAAGTTCCCCCGTTTCAGACGCCAAAAATGATGCACGTCTTCGGGGCGGAGAGCCCGCTTTTCGAGGGCAACAACATTTTCACGTGGATCAACCTGGGCCTGCTCGGGCTACAGTACTTCTGGTTCCTCGTCGTCTTCCTCATTAATGCGCTCTGTGAAGCGGTAAGTTTTAAAATTACGATTACCAGAGAAAGCTACGAAAAATACCCTAAAACTCGTAAAATCCGGCGAACATTGAGCCCATACCGGTTTTTTGCAACTTTTCCGATCAGCCCCAAACGACAATCCGGATTAATTTCGTCTGGGCACAAAATATCAGAAGATCGGTGTGTCTTTCACCCGGGAAACCCCGATTTTCAAAGCGCTCAAAAACGTGTTTGTTTGCTGATCGGGGGGAGACTAGCATTTTGGGGGGTATCGGCTGTTCTCTATTTACAAACTCGTGTGGTACAGGATGTTCACGTGAATTTCCGGGAGTAAAACATTTAAAAAAAACCAAAAAGCTATTTCAGAGCTTAAAAGTGAGCGAAAAATCATTAAATTCCATTTTCCAGGTACTCCCACCGTACTCTGGCCGCACCAAAATCGGCTTCTTCCGCAGCTTTTTCCACTGGATTATGTGTGTTCCGACAATCGTCATGTATTGTCTTGTGGAATTGGACGCTTTCTTAGAGGTTTGTTTTATTTTTCTCTAGCTTTCTCTCTCTCACTCACTCCCTCTCTGTCTCTCTCACTGGCTCTCTCTCGCTCGCTCTCTCGCTCTCTCTCTATCGTTCTCTCGCTTTCTCGCTTTCTCTCGCTCGCTCTCTCGCTCTCTCTCCCTCTATCTTCTCTCTCTCTCTCTCGCTCTTCCAACTACGCGACAATACCCCTTAACACCCAATTTTCCAGGTGTCAATCCGTGGAAAAGCCGTCTGCTCTCACAGCGCCTCGAAAAAAGACAACCTCGTCGTCCCCCCTCCGACCGCACCGCAGCCGCTACACGTCGAAACGCTCCACGAAATCTAGAAAATCTTGTAGCCGAAAAATCTGTACTTTGTAGGGTAGTTTCCATGCTAAAAACCACTTCACAATCTCTTTACGGTCACTTTAGCCGGTTTTTCATTTACTTCATCCCTTACGTTTGTCATTTTCCGATCTCACCCTTGAAATTATGTATTTTTTCGCATTTTTTGTGCGGCATTTGTCTCATCTACCGGTTCTATATATCTTCGGGTTTCAATAACATTAGAAATTCAATTTTTAACTCGTTAAAATTGGAATTTCCATAGGCATACTGTAATTTTCGCTCCATTATGTCATGTAATTTTTTGTGCTTTGTAGTTGGCAGATTTTCAAATGCATAAATGTTTCTATGAATTTAAATCGCAAAAAGCGGAAAACATTGTAATTGCAAGCCTAATATAATTTTTCTAATTAAAAGAGGCTTTTTAGAAAATCAAAACGTATTAAAAAAACCTTTAAACAATTTATATTTAATTAGCCACACGGTACTTTCCGCTTCATTACGCCAGGTAATTTGTTGCATTGTGTAGTCAGGGTTTTTCTTGGGCGGAAAACTTAGTTTTTACCGAAAATTCAAACCGTATGTCGTCAAAACTCGAGAATTGCTGTGAGTTTCGTTACTTTACGTTATGTAATGTGTTGTATTGTGTAGTCTCCTTTTTCACTTGCATAAACCTTTATTCTATCGCAAAAAAAACACAGGGGAAATCAATCGCAGAACGGGGGACGGTGCCTCTAAGACTCACAAAAACTCGCAAAAACACACAAAATCAATATTTTCAAAATTAAAAATTGGAGGCGAGAGATCAGCGGAAATGGAGAGAGTCTAGAGAAACAGACACTTTTTAGGGATATATAACGTTATTAAAGTTTTTAAAAATTGCTTAAAACATCGGGGGAACCCGTTTGGGAAGGGAAATATTTGGAGTTTTTTTCGAGATTTCTCCAAGGATACGGTAGGTGTTAAAGGGGCAGGAAATGTTGCACAAAATCCGGTGTATCTTGTAGTCTATCGTAGTTGTCGTTGGAGATTAATTTTTAGTTAAAATCGAAATTTGAGGCGTCGCTTGTCGGGCACGGGTTGGATGGGACGGGCCTAAAAAAAATTGAAATTTAATTTAGTTTTATGGAATTTGAATTTTTAGGGTATCTTACTTCAAGTACTACTCAAATCTATATATTTTTAGCTTTTTAAAGTTTTAATATTTTGTTTAAGCGCCTTAAACCTAATCGATAACTTGTATTAAAAGAATAAATTCGTGAATTTTCACTTTCTTACTGTCTTCTTAATCTCGATGCTAAAAATTAAAAAGAACTAAAAACTTTAGAATTTACCAAAAAACCTTGAAGCTATTCGAATAATTTCATTCCTAAAAAACGTAAAAAAATTTAAGTGACGAGCGAGTAATATTAACTCATTTTTCTTCTATTTTAAGGCATTTTTAGCTCCTTTTCTATACCGAGACCTTCCTCAAAAAAACTACCGTACCTGGAAGAAGCCGGAAAATGATCCATAGACGAGATGCAGACCCCGGATGGATTCCATACATGTACATTTGCCAGTTCTCGTATCCTCTTCCTCATCTCCTTCTTCTTCTTCTTGTTCTCCTCCCTCTTCCAGACTGGCATCTGGATTGTCCGGTTTCCACGAGTATACTGTAGCCCCGGATTGTCGCTGGCAATATGGCTGGCATTCACGGCCCAGGCCTGACTTCGTGGCGACGATTGGACCCGAGATTTCGTGATCCAGGAAACGGTCTCGGGACTCGTCTTCTGAAATCAGGAAAATTTAGAATTTTTTTATTTTTATGTATGGATTACGGTAAACTCCGCTACGCTACTCTTTACAAGATCATGGCAAGCTAGCAAGGACCATTTGGGAATTCGATTTTATATTTTCAAGAGTTTTTTTTTTTGTAAATATTACCGTAAATCCCTTGAGGCTACTCTTTACAGGCTAGCAGAGGCCATTTGGGAATTTAGACAGATTTTTAAACAAAAATTTGCGCTTTTACGTGCTAAACGACCGAATTATATTTCTCTAGGAGGTCAGCTAGCAGAGATCATTTGGGATTTCTAATTCAAATAGGTGAGGCAGGCTGGCAGAAATCCTTTCGGAAAGGCATAAAATCACGTTTTTACTGCTGCTTTCAATCTAATTTCTGTAGAAAAACGCTAGGGCAGGCTAACAAAGACCATTTAGGATTCGGATTTTTAGCATATAGCGCAAACTAGCAACGCCCCTTTAAGGATTCTGGATTTTCCCTTGTTTACCAGCAATTTCCATGCTAACCCCCACCCCCGCTTCCCCCTATTTGATGCCCTTTTTCGGGTCCCGCTACGAAAAAAACGGGGGCCTGAGTGAAATGACCGGAATGGGGTGGAATTCGGGGGGTCGGGGGGAAGGAGAAGCTTCCGCTACGGCTATGATATCACCAGAAAAACGAGATTTCGCGTTTTTAACGGATCTGGAAATGATGATTTTTGAAAGCTCGAGTACGCCTCTGTTTTTTCTGGTAACTCGTCAAAATATCGGATCTCAACACGCTTCTAGACATTCAATCCGTCACAGTACGCGAGGTGCGCTACAGTACGCTCGTGTACGCTTAAGTAATCTAACGTACCACGATTTTTGATAAGTGGCAATTTTTTACTAGGTTTCGGTAGGCCGCTGATCACTCCAATACACTACTCCATCTTACGCTACAGTACGCCAGGATCGGCTACAGTGAGCGGGGTTACGGTTGGTACGCTACAGTAGACTACAGTAGGCTGCATCAGAGATCCAATTTATTAATACTCATTTTCCGTTCCATTCCAAAATACATCCCGTCCGGTGGAAGATTTCGGAATCTTCGCTCAATTTCCGTAAATAGCAGCGCCGTGTAGTTGCCAAATTTGGCCCCAAGAGAGGGAAAGCAAAAACGAATCAGCCTAAAATACACGCAGCGGGTTACGGTAGGTCATTTTTGCATATTTTTATCCCCTCCCACATGACCTGCCGGTTGGGAAATTCGTTTCTGACCCAGTTCACCAAAGATCCACCTGATTCCATATTTTTGTGTCTAGCTCTGGCGTGGGCCCGGAAATTGGCCCCCGTAAAGATGCTAAATGCCGACCCAGATCATGTGGGGGTGGGCGAGGACGCAGAAAAATATGCAAAAAAGAGCTACCGTACCCCACCTCCGCCCGAGAATAGGTGTATTTTCGGAAATTTTGCGTTTTTTGAGGCTCTCTCGGGGCCGAATTTGGCAACTAGACGGTGCTTCTATTTACGGAAATTTGGGGCAGATTCCGAAATGTTCCACTGAACGGGGGCGGTGTATTTTGGAGTGAAACGGAAAATCGGACAAAAAGGCCTAAAATAATTAAAACCGTTGCTAAAGAGCACTATAGCCTATACTATGACGTATTGCAGCGTACTGTAGAGCGTAGTCTAGCGTACTCAGCGGATTATAGCGAACTGTAGAGTAGTGATACTAGAGTAGCATGACGTTTTGGAAGTTGGTCCCTTTCTGGGCCCCTTGAAAGTCTACACGACCCGGAGGGGCTCACATCAAAAACGGCTACCCCGATCCCGTTCTCGGCGAGTACAAGCTCGTTAGCTGCTCTGACCCGTAGTTCGGAACCCGCGCGACCCACATCACTCTCTTCCGGTGTTTGCGAGGGTGGAGAGAAGAGGGCGAGAGAGCGAGAGAGAGGGAGACAGAGAGAGACAGAGAGTAGCGAGAGAGAGAGAGAGCGAGAAAGAGAGAGAGAATGCCCTATCCATAGTTTAGCCTTGCCCAATACATGGTGCATTACAAAGTGCGAACGGCACGTCATTCCGCGGGAATTCCAAAATTCTGGCCGTTCGTTTTCCACTTTTTACACTTGACAAAGTGCGCACAGCCTTTGACGCCATTCGGAATTCTTCATAGAATTTTTTTGGCCATTTTGTGGCTAAATCTGGACCGATTTTGCAGCCAGTGTGCTGTTTTTAAAAGGATGGCGAGAGGGAAAACGCGCATTAAGGGAGGCCAAAACGAGGCGAAAATATTGAAAAATATCATTAAAGGGCCCGAGAAGGCAAGACCTTATGGATTTCAGATGTCCTGTAAAAACAGTAATTTTTCGCCTCCCAATCCCTTTGTAACGCCCCTACCTCGATTCCGGTTCCGATTCCGGTTTTGGCTTTCTTTCGAGGCTTTTCCCCCAGGTTGTCTACCCATTTTTGGGGATCAAAAATCCGCGTTTCCCTTCCTGGTGTGTGTCCCCGTGTTTTTCCTGGATCTTAGGTTTTTAGGGGCCTTGTGTTTGGAGGTGTCTAACGGAAATGTCGACAGATCGGTCGGTAGGAGGAAAGAGAGAGATAGAGAGAGAGAAAGAGAGAGAGAGAGAGACCGACAGACAAACCACCACATCGACACCCATAGGAAGTTTGCTTCAAAAACCCTCCTTCCCCGCCTTGGAATTGACGTCAACTGGAGAAGACGTGTGGCCACTGCCAACACTTCACTTCACTGCCCCCTCCCACGCAATATATAGCCTTAATTTCGGGCGAGCAAGAGCTGGTGTTGCTGCCCTAGAAGAGGGACTCCTTTTTGAGAAACTTGCACACCTGTCAATTGCAAAATTTGGGGAGGAACCGCTTACGCAAGTGGCTGCAACGTTTTTTGGGTAAAGCAAATATTTTTACTGGGGTCTAGACGCTGGCTACGAAACTTTCCAATTGACGTCCAGGGGTGTGGAGCGGAACTCTGATCCGGAACACTCCAACATACGGGGCTAGAGGTCGAGGTTATCTAGTAAAATCGGGACATTTTGGCACATGCCAGAACGGCTACAGTACTCGGCCAGATCTCAAAATACAGAATTTCCGTTGTGCAACAAAATACAGCTGGAGACTCTGTAGAAAAATCGTTTAAAGGCACGATGAAGTGACAAATCCATAACCAGATTTTGGCTTGCCAGCCCTTAAAAAATTTATATGGATTTCGGCGAGACTTGGAATGCGGGAT